CTTCTCTGGACAGGGACGAGGAGAAAGTGTTCAAGTAGTTTGTCTTTAGTCTGTATTTACCTATTCAACAGTTACAATAGACACTGAAGAGAGTTCATTTAAAACAGTAAACTTTTAAAACATTAACACAGGTTTTAGCTTTTTAAAGAAAAACAGTTCAGTTTTAAAAAAGGAGGGAGAGATCATAGAAAAGCACAAACAAATCAGGCTTATTTACAGAGTCAAACAGCATATTCAGAGTGATTTTGTATACAGACAAACATTCATAAAACCAAACGTGCTACAAAGGCTCCATGACAACAGCAGTTTCCAGAACAATCAGCTCTTAAGGTTACACACACCCTCACTCATTTTCTACAGTCTCAGTGCAATGAGTTTACACTACAGCTAATAACTGAAGTACAAATTTATATATTCCAGACCCCTACTCCACACATTCTCAGGTACACACAGCCAAACAGGTTCAGTGAGACAATGGAACCTTCTGCCCCATTTTGGATGTGCACTCTCAGCCATGGCCATTCTCACTCTGCTAATTGTCCTCCTGCCACAAGGATCAGTAGTAACAAGTCTCCAAGAAGCATCAGCCTTCAGAACTGCCTCACACTTGCTGCAGCCACAATCAATGATCAGCAAATCTAACACAGTCACAGAAACACTATCAGGCATTACAGCTCTGCTGCTGGGGTGGTTATGCCCAGGGTGTTTGATGAAGACACTTAACAAGCTCCAGACATCAAAGAGGATGTCTCAGACAGGATCAGCTCCAGGCTGCAGAGCCCTACTCATACTCAGCACAGCAAGGGACAAACCCACAGCAGCTGCTGGAATGACTTTTTCACTTCATCAGGGAGCCAATTAAAAAAAAAAAAGTCAGTGAGCAATACAACTTCTATTGTCTTAATTATACATTAATTCTCAAAACTGTTCCCAAGAAAACCTTCTACTAGAGTGAACAGCACTTAAGCCTTCATTCATTTTTCTTTTCCTTGTGCTTGAGAAGTTTGTTGATCTCCCTTTTCGCCATTCCAATGTACTTTGTGATGATCCCATGTTGGTTTAGTCCAGGAAACAGCAACAAGAAGCTTACTAAAGAGGAGAAGGAGAAAACAACAATTAATACTCCCTTAACAAGCTTCTGTCACTCTGCAATTCTTTGCTTCCCTTAAGCCCCATTAATTGCTTGAAAAGACAAAAACACCCCACCACACTAATTAAAAATTACTTCTACCAGTCTCAATCCATTTCAGGCAGCTAACAAGAGAGCTCCTTGTGCTCTGCATGCCCACACTCACCAATAAGATAGGTCAGAAAGAGATTGTGAACCTGCTGTCCAATCCAGGCAACCACAGCAAGAGTGAAGACCATGGTCATGAAGTACTAAAAGTGAAAAGGGAGGAGTTACCACAGACCTGGTGGGGATTCTGCCTTCCCTTCAGCGTTTGACAGAACTTCAACATTTCAAACTAACATGAAGCTCTCTGGCTCTTCCACCCATGATACCCATGCACAGGCATGTTAAAACTGAGATTACAGGATCTGTAATTGGCCATTCTCACTTATTTTCAGACCATCAGCTGAACAGGGTGCATGTTCTTTTTTGCCCAGGTATCCCTTAGTGCCAGCCTGTGCCATCCCCAATGCTGCACCCACAGCTGGTTTGGGACAGGGGCTCAGTAGCTCATGCACCAGCTGACACACTATTGAAGATCCAGGTTTTTGGAGTTTGTGCACACTGGAAACAGCTTTTTTCCAAAAAATTTACCTATCCAGAGAAATCCAGTCTTCCTTTATCTAATTATCAAGGGTTTGCTCATAAAACACACAGAAGTGCAAGTTTTTAAGTTTTGTATCTTACCACTCCAGGTCTGAATAACTGTGTGACCAAGTCACAGCCAGAAGTACCAGCTGCTGGTTTGGAACACCAGTTCATTCAGGCCTTGCTAAAATACTTCAGACAAAGCTAAATCACACAACATCTTAAGACAACAGAGATTAACTCCTAGAACTCAGTACCATTTTAGGCTTTTCTTCCTTCATAGTGAAGAGACGCTTCCACCAGCCAACAATCCGGCGGCGACACTTCACCAAATTGCCACAAATCTCATGAAACCTTTGCTGCTGCTCCGTGGTCCTTTTATTAAAGGGAGGGGAAAAAGCCAGATTAAGAATTCAAGATTTAATTTTATATTTTAAAAAAACCTCCATGGCATTTTTCCAGCAGTAAAGAAGCACCCAGCACTTATCCTGGCACTTGCTTTGCTTAGCTTGAACCTTACTGAGCACTGCAAGAAGTGCCCATGTAATTTTCCTGCATATTGAATGTTAATTAAAATGACTCCCTGACCTTAATCTCATACCAGGGTGAGACACACAAATAATGCTTATCTACATAAGAACATTTATCCCAAAGCAGATTCACTAAACTTCACCTTTAACTCAAAATGTTGCTCAAATCAGGTTCTTCTTCAAGTTATTTCTTTTGTACAAGACTTGCCTTTTTCAAATCTGTTTCACTCACAATCACATTCATACTCTCTCTGCATTATTCTCTTTTTTATCACATTTACTACTGCTTTTTTCCAAACATTAAATCAGTACTCTTTCACATAATTTCACTTTTCAGTATATATTATCCATTACTAAAAACTAGTCTAGCAGAACTAACTAGCATGCTTAATGGAGAGTAAAGAATGTGCCTACTTCTTAAAAAAAACAATCTGATTTTTACAGAAGAAAAGGAACAACAAAGGTATGCTGTAGTAGTAGTTCTCCTCAGAAAAAGAATGAAGAACATTTGCTTCTGTCCTCACTTCATGTATTACAGAGATTGCTGATTTCTCTCTACAATGACTCTACAAAGTAACTATTTGATATCCACAAATCAGATATCCATTTTGATAAAGATCATAATTACACTCAATAAACTTTCAATTGGAGCTTTCCTCACCACTTATTAGAGCCAAAGATCCGAGGAGCAAGAGCAGGAACCAGGTAATCAGCCAAACAGAGGAACATGACCAAACAGGAGACACCTGAGAGAACTGAAGGGTCCAAATAGTAGATCATCCTGCAGAAAAAGAAGAGAAATTATTTCTGAGTGCTCCAACTGCTCAATACCAGACATGCTTGGTCGCTTCTTCAGACTGGCTCAGAGCTTCCAACAGCAGAGCTCTTTCTTCCCTAACCTCAAACAAAATTACAAAAAATGCATTTTTCTCTTAATAGACCAGATAAGAATATGCTGCAAGCAAATAAGGTACAAAGTTCAGTAGAAGTAAAATTTCAGCATTATTGTTCTCTCAGAAATTGACCAACAGTGAACTTAACACTGACTGAGGGATTATTATGAGTGAACAAATGAAATAACCAGGCAGAGTAAAAGCTCTAATTTTGTTGCTCAAGTCACAGAATTCAGATCCTCTAGAGGCTGTCATTTGCTCTGTCTCTCCTGGGAGAGCCAGCTA